TATATATATAAAGCCAGTAATGCCATAATGTATTTACATCGTTTGAAGACAACCATATATTAACTTTTAAATTATTCGACCGTTACCTAAAGGAGTTATTTTAAATTTGTTAATCGTGTTAATCGTAAGATATATTGCCAATTGATGTTGAAATGTTTAACGGGAACGTTCAGCCTATACTTACAGATTTAGCCAAATTCCGAGGGAAATCGACATCAATTCCACGCAATACAGCCAAATGATATGACAGTAATTGCAAAGGAATTATTGTAAGAATACCTTGTAGACAATCTACAGTTTGAGGTATACGAATTTTCACATATTGAGCTTCTATACCGTCATCGCCCTCATTGCAGATAATAATTGGTTTACCCTTGCGAGCTGTGACTTGTTGAAGAGCGCTCTGCACTTTCTATTAATTAAACGCAAAAATATAAATAACGTCTTTTAAATAACGCAAGTTAAAAAAAAAAAAGCCTTACCGGATATAAAGAATCCTTAGTCATAATAAGAATAACAGGCATATCTGAATCGATAAGAGCCAAAGGTCCATGTTTCAATTCCCCAGCCAAAATACCTTCAGAATGCATATATGAAACTTCCTTTATCTTTAAAGCCCCCTCTAAACAAGTGGCATTTTGGAAACCACGACCCATAATCAAGAGGCTTTTTTCTTTATTAAGATCATTTCTAGCAAGTTCTTGTAGTTCTTTATCCATGCTGAGAACTTGTCTGATATATTCTGGTAGCTTCTTAAGTTCATCAATAATCTCATTTCGTCTCTGTGTCATGGATGTACGATCTTCGCTCAATTGAATAGCCATCATCACTAAAGCAATAAATTGAGAAGTATATGCCTAGTTAAAATCAAATTATATATTGAAGTTAGTAATATTATCATAAAATTGATTATAAAGTTAAATGTCTGTACCTTAGTAGATGCAACACCAATTTCAGGACCAGCATTAATGTGGACACCGCAATGTGTTTCACGTGAGATTGTTGAACCAACAGTGTTTGTTATACCGAGGCAAAGAGCACCCCGTTCTAGACAATACCGTAAAGCAAGAATGGTATCTGCTGTCTCTCCAGACTGTGATACAAATACACAAACATCATCTCTGAAGATAGGAGTCTTTCTATCCAAGAAATCACTAGCTAACTCAACAGAAACAGGAATCTCCGTTAATTCTTCGAAAATAGCCCGGGTCTAATAAAAACGGTGATTGTTTTATTAAATCTTCTAAAATACTGGTTTTTTTTTTATTAACCATTTTATTAAAATACTGTTAATTAAATATACTTACTGCTATACACGAATGGTAACTTGTACCACACGCACAAAATACTATGCGCCTACATCTTCGAATTGTTGCCAGATATGCTTTGAGACCGCCGAGGGTAACTTTATGACTATCAAAGTTGACACGACCACGCATAGTATTGACCACTGACTCTGGTTGTTCGAAAATTTCCTTCTGCATAAAGTGATCAAAAGAACCTTTCATGATTTTGGCCAGTTCTAACTCCAAGGTTTGGATAGAACGAACAGCTGACCTTCCGTCATCACTTCTTAAACGGTGAATATGTAATTCTATTAAAAAGCACATGTTCAATTTCGATATTTGAATTTTATGCAATCAGTAAATATATATATATATTAACAAACAATACCTCCTTCACTAATGTGAGCAATATCATCATCTTCAAGATAGAGGACACGCTTTGTATGTTCTACAACAGCGGAAGGATCAGACGCAAGGAAATATTCAATAGGTTGAGGAAGTCCATCTTCGCTAAGAAAAGTGCGCGATTGACTATGTCTGAGTTTTGGTACTGCATCATTAGGAGACAATAAGCCTCCTCCTGTATCTGGAATTTTTTCCTCTTTTTTCAAAAAATTATAATTGGAATTATTTCAATCAGATCATGAAAATGGTTAATTCTATAAAATTAATTGTGATTATTTACCTGCACCAAATTCGACATCCACAAAATCTACTTTTAATTTTTTCGCAGTTTTAACACCAACCAAGAGAGGAGAACCGCGTCGTGTGGCTACCATTTCATGTGGATAATGAGTACTCTTAAAGATCAAGGCAAATGCACCTTCCTAAAAAATGAACGCGCTTTTAATGCTTTTAATTTAAAATAATAACAATTATGACTGCATGAATAAGAATCTTACCAATTTCTTGACAACATCCTTGACAAGCGCGGTGAAACTTAAGTTTTGATTAGGATTTCGAGTATCATACAAATACTTTGCAAACTTAGCAACAACTTCAGTATCAGTATCAGATTCAAAGTGATAGCCTTTATTTTCCAGAAGTGTCTTTAATTCTTTATAATTGGTGATAATGCCGTTGTGAACCACGGTGAATTCATTCTTTGGATCAGAGCGATGAGGATGAGAATTTGTCGTTGAAGGTTGACCGTGAGTAGCCCAACGAGTATGAGACATAGCACAATGGTTAACAAACTCTTTTTCAAAATCAACATTTTGCTCCGACACTAATTTTTTCAAGGCGGCAACCTTTCCAACTTGTTTGAAGAGAATTACTTCAGTTTCATTATCGCCATCCACGGCCAAACCTGCCGAGTCATAACCACGGTATTCTAGACGAGCTAATCCACTTATAAGGATATCAATAATCGTTTTCCTATCCTTAACATTAAGATAATTAAGATACGCAAAAATTCCACACATTTTTTACGAAATAGATGAGCTTAATTTTTGAAGTGCGAGTTTTTTTTTATCGTTATATATTTATTAAAAGCATTGATGAACATGTGAACAATTAAAAAGATCATTCTTATTAAAGAATCGATATCGATATTCTTGAACTTCTTGATAGGTGATATTTGCCTCTTTGCTAATGTGTCTTAGCCAAATTTTGACTTATTCAACGAGCGTCATACCGATACGTAAACAAATTACATCATAGATTATCTTCGTCTAATGAGATTTAGTAAATTCTCAAATTCTCAAAACTAGTTATCGAAATGTAGTATTAAATTAGGCTTCAGCACACTTAGATCATAAACATCACACTTGCTAAAACGGTGAAAATGGGTTTTTTTTGTCATCCCTACTACGACCCCGATTTAATTTTTGCAGGTCTTGTCTATCTTTAATAAGACAGTTCCTGATTTGACGCACGACGATATCTTGTGAACTGTCGATCAGAATTACATGATTCTGATACCATACGATTCGTCTCATCGAGACGAATCGAACGGTACCAAAATCATGTGATTCTGATCGACAATTCTCAAGATACTCCTTTTAACCAAGGTAGATATGCCTAATTTGACTCAGGTAAACGTTTACGATAAATATCGTGTGATGTATCGATCAGAATCGCAAGATTTTGGTACCATTCGATTCATCTCGGTAAGACGAATCGAATGGTACCAAAATCTTGCAATTCTGATCAATACATCACATGATATTTTATCGTAGGGCGTCCTTAAAAATCCGCTAAAGCGGGATAAATTCAATATAAGGATCTACATACTGCATAATTGTGTTTTTGATATTTAAATAAAACATCTACCATAACTGCATCAAAAAAGTAACTTTTTTAATTGCCCCGCTTTAGCGATCCCCAATTTTAGGGTAGTGTACGTAGATCATTTTATCATATGATCTGCATGGTATTTTAGATGCTACTAATAAAACTTTTTATGATTATATTCAATTTTTATTAAAATTTCATAGAATATAGTTTAAAGTATGCTTTTTATAATGATACATAATATTTAAAAAAAAACATACTTGTATATATATAGGCTAACTTTCTCGTGATTGGCCAATTTTATTCAATTGAATTTATACAGTTTAAAGTACTTTTACCCCC